AGGCAGTCAGTTTTTATACATTGTGACAAAGAGACAACAAATTCATGATGAATTAACAGGATGAAGAAAACAGATGTTTGGGACTGTTAATTAGTAAGGAATCCTAAGCAACTTTTTCTCATAAGCTATGATTTACAGCAATTTCATCATCAGGCCAAGTTAAAAAAAAAAAAGCAACTATTACACTTTGCAAACAAATTGGTCTTAATTTGGCTGTCCTTGGTAAAAATGAGGGTGATTATAGAAAGAAACATTATGTTTCAATTACACACCATTGTGGATTTTACAGTCTAATAGAGTTCACTAAGAACTGGACGAGATCCTAATTTCTTCTAGTTTCCTCTGAAGCCTGGCCACAAGTCTCCAAACTAATATTTTCCACTTTTTTTCTATCCTTTTGACTTGGAATCACTGGATACCCCAAGCTCCCCTTTTCCTGAAGCCCTGCAAATGGAATATGAACAACTTGATGTAACCTTCTGAGAAATCACTGCAAAACTCATATGTAGACAATCTTCCTGCCAGTTCCTCTGTGAGCCTCTCAGAAAGTCTGTCAGCCTGCCACTACCTACCTATCTTATCTGCCTAATGATGCTTTCAGCCCAGCATCTAGAGATTCTTTCAACTGGCTATCCTTGGAACTCAGAAACTGGTTTATAACTGGATCCTTTCATTAATAAACATTATCTTTCTTGTACTGCCATAGAATTTCTTCTTATTTATTACCTGATTGTTTGAAGCAGAGGCCTCCCTCTAGGAAGATACCTGCATTGCCTCTTCCCGAAATGAATTTGACTGAACTGACTCATTGTCAGAACAAAGAGACTGGATTAAGGAGATAAAACTATCAGCTCAACTTTGAATCCGTGAATCTTCCAAGAAAGTTGCAGAGGAAGGAACCACCTAAAAATGTGGACCAAAAATCTGGGCTTTCTTGGCTGAGTGACAAAACCAAGCTTTCTAGTTGCCAGAGCCAATCAGAAGACCCTGAAATCAGCTATTTTGAAACGTGTGCTGCTCTCAAAGCATGACAGGACCACAAGAAAAAAGGAGACATATGAACATTAACACTGTCAATTAACATTCCAGACTTTGAAAAGTACAGGTTTCAACCTCACCTTGTCTATAAACCACATTGGTTTTTTTTTTCTTTTTAAGAGACTGAGAGAGGGCCCAAGTGAATGAAGGGCAGAGATGGACAGAGAACGAGAGAGGGAGAGAGAGAGACAGGAGACTAACTTGAAAGGGGCTCGAACTCACCTGATATGTGACTCAGGCTCATCAACTGTGAGGTCATGACCTGAGCTGAAGTCAGATGCTTAAGGACTGAGCCACCCAGGTGCCCCTCTCCTTTATTTCATGTGTCAACAAAGCATATAAAGGGCTCCCACCTAAATGGTCAGAACCATAGGGACTTGGATACCTGGCTCTTCTGTCACTGTGCTTTGTGACAGAATTTGTTCATAAAATTGTGCCACACAACATGCCTATTGAGGAATCATAGAAAATCGGATGATACATCAGAATTCCAGGTTCTCTTCAGCATTAAAGATCTTATTCCCAAGTTTCAGAGATGGTGAATTAGAAAAGGCAATCCTAAATCTGTCTATGATAATGGAACAAGGAGGGTTCAATACCAATAATGGAACAAGGAGGGTTCAATACCACTATGCATGCTTTGAAAACACTCCAGTCAGAAGGTAACAGCTTAGCCTCTGGGGGTCTCCAAAGTCATCATGTTCTAGATACCGTGACTGCCCAGCAGGGGGAGCTCGTGCAATCATCAGTGGAAAATGTTGCTTTTTATCTATCCCAAATGAGGCACATAACATCTAACTTAAATCTACTTTTAAAAAGGAATTAATATTTTCCACCAAATAAATGAAACACATTTATTTGAGCAGATCTATTTCCAGGATTGTGGGACTCATTTCATGAGGTGTGGGGAAATGCGTTCTCTTCTATTTATTCATCCTCTTGCCTTCTTTTTTCCAAATGTTTTGAGCATAAATGACACACGATGTTACCGTAGTTTCAGGTGTACAACATAGTAACTTGCCAACTGTATACATTATGCTGTGCTCACCACAAGTGTAGCTACCCCCACCCTGCATTGCTATTAAAATACTGTTGACTATATTCCCTATGCTGTGCCCTTGATTCCTGTGACTGATTCATTCCATACTGGAAGCCTGTACCCCACACCCTCGTTCACCCATTCATTCATCCTCATGGTGATCTATGCTTTTCTTATTCTTTGTAGATTTCTTACTGCTCAATCCAAACTGGATTTCTCTCTCCCTACAGTCATCTGCTCAGCTATTTATTATATAAACTTTCAGGGGAGTTTCAGAGGAAGAAACTCTGAGCCCCAGGGAGGCCACCCCAAAATGTGCCACCATGGCATATTGACTATCTTGAGTTGAAGCTACTTGGGATACAGCCGGTGCAAGAGCACCCAGGCTGTCACATGCCCCTCTTGAAAGCAGGAAATGAGTGGCCCATATGAAAGGTCCCCTCCCTGTACTATGAGGTAAAGAGACATCCTTATCAGCAGAGATGGGGCTTCCAAGCTGAGAAAGCTGTAGAAACAAACCTTGTTACTTTTTTACTCATCTACAACCTCAGCCCAGATTCCACTTAGAATTCCTGCAATTTAAAACTCCTACACACCTTCTTTCTTTTTCCTGTCAATTCCTCACAAATTATTATCTTTGTCTAAAATATATAAGACTGCCAAAAAAAAAAAAAAACAAAACCCCCCCCCCCCGGGTTCTTTTTTGGGGGGGGGGGGGGGGGGTTCAAACTCATTACTGGGCCTCCCTGTCTGGTAATAAAATTTTGAAGCTTTTTTTCTCCCATTGACCCATTTCATCTCAATTAAATTCTTAAACCACTTGGAAATAAGGAAGGAAATTAGGAGGAATACTGGAGGAAATAAGGACATTTCTTCCTCTCCACAAAACCTTTGCATTTTTTACTATAAAGTAGTTTATGTATTAAAAACAGAATCACACCTCAGCATATGACAGTAAATTTTATTTTAAAAGGTAAAACTTTCATGCAACCTTTTAAAACATGAAATTCAAAAGCTATTAAGCAAGTTAACCACACACCACTGATTAGAGCAGGGATTAAAGAAGTAGTTTCGTCACTAATGTGAACGGTCACAAAATCCAATAACGACTTGGATCTTCGGTGATTCAAGTGTTTTATCCCACACAATAAGATGTGATCGACTTTAAAATAAAATCCATTTTCCGGATATTCTGTTGCCAATCAAGGCCTTCTTTATCACCATGATCTTACACGATAGGAAAGCTAGCCATGGTGGCGATTCCACAATGGTTGTCCCGGTCTTTGGCCATTTTTATGTAGCCGTCCATGCCCCAGTCAGCGCCCCAGCTGAAAGAAGACAGGGTTTTCCAATTGTTACAAATGGTAAAACACGTTTATCTTTATGAATAATAACACTCGATACTGAGCAGTGCAGCAGAGACCAGGACAGATTCAGGAAGAATCAGGAGAGGCCGTTCTTGTTCATGGTTGAGTTCTAACCCAGCACAGAATTCTATCCCCAGACCTTTCACAAAACTGCAATGTGAGCAGGAAAGGGAAAATTTTGGGACCCAGATGTGTTATAGAAATTTTTTAAAATTCCAATTTAGAAATACAGTGGTACCAAAACTATATCAGGACCCTAGCAAGCCTGAGACAGTATCTTAATGTTGTCATCATATGACTATGTCTGTGCTCCCCCCTAGATGGGGTAAACGCTGCTGGGATTTCAGAAGTGTGCTCAAGGGTTGGCGGACCTGCGTCCAAACACTGGTTCCAAAAAACATTCCCTTTTCAAATTCAAAAGTACGTATTCCTCGATTTTCATACCTGTTCTTGACAAACCAATATTTTTGGTTATCGGATTCTTTTCCTTGAAAGCCATAGCCAACCACCAGAACACCGTGATTCAGGTCTTCACTGCTGCACTTTGGATCATAATAAATGCCTGGGGAGTAATATTCAATGCTGAGTGAGGATTCCCACGTGACATGTGATAGTAACCCAGCCTATCAACCACAGTAGGGGAGGCATTTCAAAATTCAGTTGTGATATTGGTATGAATTCAGATGAGATTTAAAAGTCAGATATTTTTGTTTAGCAGGAAGGGGTGGGGATTTAGGCCCTCATCTCACACCAGGAGAAATACTAACTGTCACAATCCCTTTTGAAAATAACAGTCAAGGGGCATTAAAAAAATCACCCGCCGAAACCTTATTATTCTACTTGTAGGATGTCAACCTAGGGAAACAGCAGAGAACATAAAATTACTTGAGCCAAGAGCTACTTTCCACTGTTAATTTCAGTATCAAAATTCTTTAAAAGTTATCAAGGTCTAATATTTAGAAAAAAGTATGGGGCGCCTGGGTGGCTTGGTCGGTTAAGTGTCCGACTTCTGCTCAGGTCATGATCTCACGGTCCGTGAGTTCAAGCCCCGCGTCGGGCTCTGTGCTGACAGCTCAGAGCCTGGAGCCTGTTTCAGATTCTGTGTCTCCCTCTCTCTCTCCCCCTCCCCCATTCATGCTCTGTCTCTCTCTGTCTCAAAAATAAATAAACGTTAAAAAAATTTTAATATTTAGAAAAAAGTAAAGTAAGCCATACCAATCAAATTATGTAGCCATTTAAATATATTTATGATATACTTATCCTCATGGGGATATGTCAAGTCATGGCATATGGAAAGAGCAGGCATAAATATTACATGTACAGAATGAACAACTATGTTAAGTCCATACACCCCTAAATTCTACATTGAGTTCTACATACCAAAGTGTCACTCTTGCTGTTTCTTAGGGTGGTTGTCCAATTTTTCTACCTAAATTTCTACATCGACAAATGCTTACCTTCTTTATAGAAGCGGAAGGTATCCAGGCTTGCATCTATAGCAGCCGAGATGGGCCCCATATTTGCCACTGCCATCATAAGGGCCTCCTCCTGCTGAGGGATGTTCTCGAAGGCGGTGACATTGGCAGCAGAATGCTCAGGCCTGTATTTGCAGGGTCCATCCTTTGAATGGTAAGGGAAAAGAAACTTGATTACAACCATCCACTTCCTGGGGAACACGACTTCAAAGCAGCTTACAGGTAAAAGACTTCCGAGTCAAGTTTTTTGTGAAGCAACCCAGGAGATGAAAGGGTATTTATTGCTTTGAAATTGAAAAACTAACTGGTGTGAGGGGCCCTGGGTGCCTGGGATTCTCTCCCTCTCCCTCTCTCTCTCTCTCTGTACCCCTCCCCCTTTCATGCTCTGTCTTTCTCGCTCTCAAAATTAATTAATAAATAAAAAAAAAAGCAAAGCTAATTGGTCTGGATTCAATGAAACACTCGTGGTCTACCTGTCCGTAAGAAATTTTTCACCTTGGAGAAATCTGTACCCTATATAGAAAGGTATGCATATCTCCATGTGACGTAGAAATAAAAACAGCTATGTGGTAACCATCTAAGCAGAGAACTATGCCAGGCTAATACTGTTTAATGACAGTCCTGACAGACTGCAGATAGAGTCTACAATTGGAAATGTGAATGTTAAACATGGTGTCTGTTTTCTTCAAAAGCATTCAGCTCTAAGGGCAGAGCTGGAATGGTGACAAGTGAGGAGCTCCACTCACTCTTGCAACATATGGATAGGATTCCTCTGTGTCCAGGCCTCTGTTGTTCCTAACATACTGGAAGGCATTGCTCATTAGGCCACCATTGCAACCCTCATTGCCTTGAGGCCAAGAGCAGTCCAGGAGGTTCTGCACACTCAAGGAAACACGTTTGCCAGTTTTCCGGAACATCTGTCCTTCGAGGGCACCAGCTGCACTAAAAGCCCAGCCAGAAGCACACCGACCCTGGAAACAAATTATAAAGGTCTCAGTCTACGAAAGCAATAGCAAGACTGACAGCAGTCTATTGATCTGAAAACTCTTTTAAAATATAGCAAACATGGTGTATGGTTTCCACAGCAGGAAACCATAGCAAGGGGGACACTTTCTTTTTGGCTTTCTTCTTGGAGAGAGACCTGATGATTAGTCATCCTTGATACTCACAGGACTTACAGCAGGTATCTGTCTCCTGTCCACAGGTACATAGATATCAGCAAAGAAAGGTATTTTAAACATTTTCCCTTTCTCATCCTTCTCGATTTTAAGGCCATTCATCATGTGTCTGAATTCTTCATTGGTCTTCAAGGAAAAGAAAGTAGAATGTTGACAAGCATAAGATTTTTTTGGCAAAGTACTGAGGAGAGAGAGAACAAAATATTCAGCAATCCGTGCCACACTCACCATGTCACCAAAGCCATTCATTGCCATCGTGAAGCTGTGTTTCCCTTGGCTTTGTTCTCGATTGTGCTGTTCAATCATTTTCATATTCTTCTCCCACACTGCTTTCCTCCAGCCCTCATTCTAGAGGCAAACATATGACTTATCATCTTTATTTCTATTTAAAACCTACTGACCTGCACCAAGTGGATGTGCTCACAGAGGGGAGGAGAAATCACAGCCAGGGATGGCTTGATGCTTCTGGGAGCTGTTCTCCAGCAACCACACAGCAGGACATATGCCCACACTGTGCACAGTCATGGTGCCCTGCTTACTGCCTTAGGAAGAGCAGCCTCAAGATGCTACTCTGTGCTACGAACTACCACCAGCACGGACATTCTCTTTGGGTCCCCTGGATAGTTTGGATGTTACCAACCATTCCATATTGCTTCCCATGTGTTGCCTTCCAGTGAATCCATTGTGCATCTAAACTTTGATCAAGCTCTATAGTAGCTGAGGCTATTCCCAAGCAAAGGGCGATCAGGAAGACAAAAGGATACATGTTTCAAAACCTAGGAAGGAAAAAAAAAATAAGTATCTGATTAGACCTATCTGTCTAAAAATCCGTCCTCCTTTCTTCTAGATGTTAAAATCACTATGATGGAGTAAAATCATTGAATTTATTCTCCCAAGTACTTACCCAAAAATTATACCAGCCCCACCGGGTTGCTCACCTGATCATGTAGCTGTGCAGATGCCGTCAGAAGGTGTAGTCCCAGGGATCTCTGATGTTGGGCAGTGGCTTTAAGGCCACCCATCTAAAGCCCTGGGGTTTGGCCTCACTGGCCCTGCCCACACCAGCTGGGCACACTGTGATCTTGTTTGTTTTGCTTTTGTTTTCCAAGCTGATGGCTTCTATTCTGAAGTTTTCTTGATGATTATATCTTGTTTTTAGCAGAACAAAAACTTCTAGACAATCATGTGGACTCATGTCCCCCCTCAAATCGTCCTTAATTGGTTTGACTAAACAATGAGCTCACAGTGGTCCAGCTGACAAAAACAAGTATACGCATATTCAGCAAGGAAAAAGATGTCCACCTCCAGTTAATTGATGTCATTATAAGATGGGGAGGACGTGTGTCATAAAGGCACATTGGAATACAGTTAGTGATCAGATGCTATCAACTGTGGGTCTAACACTGTGATAACTATATTTTTTAGACGTTTTTCTCACAACTCAGGTCAGATAAGTGTATTTTCATTTTATAGATAAAGAAGAGAGACAAGAGAAATTTTGTCACCCATTCAAAAGAATAAAGCCAAAGTCAGCTCACTGATGAGTTTTTTTTTTTTAATTTTTTTTCAACGTTTATTTATTATTTGGGGGACAGAGAGAGACAGAGCATGAACGGGAGAGGGGCAGAGAGAGAGGGAGACACAGAATCGGAAACAGGCTCCAGGCTCTGAGCCATCAGCCCAGAGCCTGACGCGGGGCTCGTACTCACGGACCGCGAGATAGTGACCTGGCTGAAGTCGGACGCTTAACCGACTGCGCCACCCAGGCGCCCCGAGTTTTAACTGTAAAAGTATGTTGAAGGTGGTCATTCTGAATGGAGGCAAAAGACAGCACAGGCACCCACAGAGATACTGCCACTTCAGTTCCAGACCACTGCAATAAGGCAATATCACAATGAAGTGAGTCAAATGAACTTTTTGGTTTCCCAGTGCATATAAAAGTCATGTTGACACTACACTATAGTCTATTAAATGTGCAATAGTATTTATGATCTTTAAAAAAATGTACAGACGTTAATTAAAAAATACTTCATTGCTACAAAGTGCTACCCATCATCTGAGCTTTTAGCAAGCGTGACCTTTCTGCTGGTGGAGGGTCTTGCTTCAATGTTGATGGCTGCTGACTGGTCAGGGTGGTGGATGCCAAAGGTTGGGGTGGCAGAGGCAGTTTCTTAAAGTAAGACGACAATGAAGTTTGCTGCAATTGACTCTTTTCTCATGAATGACTCCTCTGCCACACGCAATGCTGTTTGTTAGCACTTTACCCACAGTAAAACTTCTTTCAATTTTAGAGTCAGTCCTCTCAAACCCTATCTCTGCTTTATCAACTCAAGATATGTAATATCCTAAATCTTGTGTTGCCATTTCAACAATCTTTACAGCATCTTCACCAGGAGGTCAAGATGCTTTTCCATCTCAAGAAACCATGTTCTTTGTTCATCTATAAGAAGCAACTCCTCATCCGTTCAAGTTCTACCATGAGATTGAAGCCATTGAGTCCCATTTCCAGGCTCCACTTCTAATCCTAGTTCCCTTGCTCATTCCACTCCACCTGTAGTGTCTTCCTCCCACTGGAGCCTTGAGCCCCTCAAAGTCATCCATGAGGGTTGGAATCCACTTCTTCCAAACTCCTGCTCATGTTGGTATTTTCACCTCTTCCCAGGAATCATGATGATGTATACCTACATCTGTTTTGAGCTCAAATATTTCCACATTTACATATGAAAAAATAAAATGCAGACCATCCTGCATTTAGCAGAATTTGCTCTGAGCACACATCCCTCAGTACTCGTAGACAGAATATTTTCCCATATATTTTCTCAAATATTGTGTTCTTCATAGAAATGTCAATTGGGAGTACCAAGAATTTCAAATTTATTGACCACAAAATGTAAATTTTGAGAAATATTCCAGGCAGTCTGATGAAAAATTAAAACAAAGTCAATATTGAGAAAAAACATATTCCTTAGAAATAATAGCAGTGATAAGCTATGAGATAAGATAGCTAAGGAAGTGTGAAATTATGTGAATATATAACAGAAATAATTACTGTGTTTATATTATTTTTAATGCTAGGGTAACCATTACAAGTGTTTCATTTTCCTTTAAAGCATATATATATATATACACATACATATGTATGTACATATATACATATGTACATATATGTATGTATATATATGCATATATGTATATGTACATTTATATACTCATATATGTACATATATTTACATATATATGTACAATACATATATACATATATATTAAAATATTTTTATAAGTATTTTTGTATGAAATATTATATTTTCTATGTATACCATAATAATTGAAACTAGTGTTAGTGAATATTTCAAAATTTATATTATTGGAATTATTTTCATGTCTTTTTGCACTCTCAAAACTATACCAATTTGAACTAAAGTTGATTTGGACAAAATAATTAAACAGGTGACACCATTATTTTTTTTTTTCTTTTTTCCTTTTAATACCCTTCACCCATTTCTCCCACACCCCACTCCTCACTTCTAGCAACCACCGGTCTGTTCTTTGTACCTATGAGCTTGCTGAAGTCCATGTGCCCAAAGTACAATGAAAACCAGTGAATGGTCCCACCTTCCCTGTGCTTTGGGGGATGCTAGAAAATGGGAAGAACTCCTGGACTCCCCCTCAGACAGACCCAAGCATTTACCTTGGGAAGCTGATCAGGAAGAAATGAGAAACCAAGAAGAAAGGGGTTCTCTGATCACAGGCTAGAGATCCCAAAAGTTCTTCCATCCCCTGCCTATGGAAGGACGGTCACTCAGGCACCATTCCACCAATGTCCTCAAATCTTTGATATGTGGCCTCTGAGAATGGAGTGGGGGAGTCCCAAGCTCTTCCCAGCTCCCTGTTTTGGGATTTCACTTGAAGGGACCCAGGGTCTCAGCTTGAGGAAAGAGGCATATGGATGGTGCATGGGTCTTCCCCTGAGTGTTCACCACATTCATCAAAGCAACACACACCATGACCGAAGCAAAACCTTCGGTCTCTCACCTCTGTTTCCAGCAAAACCTTCTCCTCATGGCTGTGCAGTCTTTAGACCAAGTGCTGTACACTCACTAAATCAAGGTATTCCTAAGAAATTTTGAAGATTTCAGTTGGAATCTTTCAGGTGCACATTTCAGATAACATCTCTAATAAAGCATTAATAGCCCATTGGTTAAAATCAGAATGTTTCTAGAAAAAGAAAATTGATGTTTCCTTTTGGAAGACTGAAAATGTCAAGTACATATTAAAATTCTGCTGCTTCTATTACTGCTACCAAGCCACAATTAGCTGAGGAACAATCCTGGGTCCTGAATTATACTCACCCTGAACTCTGCATTGGGTTGTACGAGCCACCCTGCCCAAGGCTGCAGTAAGAAAGGAGAGCATGGCATCCTCTGATGGCACATTCTAGCCCCTACATCCCCACCACTGTTGCCTTACTCTAATGCAAGACTTCAGTGGACTGTCTGATGTTGAGTCACTTTGAATCCCTGGGTTAAGCCTGATGTTGTCCTGGTGCATCTTTGATTTAGATATTTTGGGGTTTGATTTGAAAGTATGAGCTCTAGGTGTTTATTCCTTGTTGGTTCAGTGATGAGGCAAGCTGACTCTCAGGTCTGGTCAGGAGCCTCTGTATGTGAAGCCTTGTGGTTAGCAGTGGGGGGGCGGGGGGGGGAGGGAGTCCAGCTTAGATTGGATGGAAGGTCACCCAGAGAGTGCTAGATGGCCTCTCAGGGTACCTTCAGTGTTCAGCATCATGGTAAGGAACCCACATCTCAAGCATCAACTTGACTAGATAGTTTGCTGGTGTTTAAATGACCTTTCCTCTTGGCCCTGAGACTGAGTTAACTCCCATTGTTTGCATCCCCATAGCATCCTACACTGCCATTGAGATAGGAAAGACAGGAGTTTGTAAAAGCAAATGAGAAGGCACATGTAGACACTTAGAAAGAAGGCCATGAAAGGCTCCTGGACCCAATTTCAATGTCTTACACAGCACCAATCCATTCTCAGACCCCAGTGGGGTATCCAAAAATTCAACTCAATTAAAGACACCCTATGCAGAGATAGCATTAGACCCCCCAGGTTAGTGCTCAGTTCTACAAGACTGCCCTTCCTGCCCACTTCAGATGCCAGTCACAAGCCCCAACTCTTGTCTGGGCTTCTGACCCTTATGAGTCAAAGATTCCCAAGATGCCCTCTTTGGGTTCAATTAATTTGCTAGGGCAGCTTCCAGTTTTAGTTACTGACTAGACCACAGTTTTTTAATAAAGAATATAACTCTGAAATAGGCATATGGAAGGGTTGCACAGGGCAAGCTATGGGAAAGGGCACACAGATCCCCTGCCCTCTCTAGTCCTGCCAGCTTTCCCCAAATCTCCACATGCTAATCAACCTGGAAAACTCTTTTAGGGGCTTTAAGGAGGTTTCATTACATAAATACAATTGACTAAATCATTGGCCATTGGCAAGTGATTCAACATCCAGCCCCTCACCTCTCCCCTTCTGGTCAGAGGGCGAGGCTGAAAGTTCCAACCCTCTAAACAGATGGCTGACTCTATTGGCAACTAGCCTCCATCCTTAGGCTTCTTCCAAAAGTCACCTTATTAACATAACACAAGACACATTGATCACTCTCAACACATAGGAAATCCCAAGGGTTTAGGGGGTTGTAAGCCAGAAATTGTGGACAAGGACCAAACAAATATTAGAAATATATTTTGGTCATTGAATGAGCAAATACATATTTCTTATAAATCACAATATCACAGGTCAGAAAAGAAGTGGACATATGCTCAGGAGAGATCCATGCCAAGAAGGAGACAGTAGCCAAGGGACGCAACACTGCCCAGGGATAGGGTCAGAAGAACTGGACAGTGTGCTCCTTATAGAGTGGATGGAGTCATATCTGGCAGCCTGAGGTGGTAGCAGGAGATGAAAGACAGTCACTGTAGACAGGCATCCTAGACTCCAGGATCTACATGAAGACAGAGATAGGGCAGTGGCTGGAGGAAAGTTTTGGGATTTATAAAG